ATGATTTCTTACAACCGCATCCTTCTCATCCTTTTGCATTTTTCACTCCTGTGAACCTACGTCATAGGCCCCGTCTGGCATTTAACCACTCTCACTTTTTTGTGGTGGCCCTTGCAGATTGCCATCTTCCCAAGATGTGCTTCTTCCGGATGTACTGCCATGATCTAAAAAGACAATTCCCACAGACATGGACTGAAGAATGATGAGTCAGGCCTTGAATTACACTATTTGATACAATAATGAGTGAACCAAAAAAAAAAAAAAAAAAAAAGAAAATCATAGAATGGTTAGAGTTGGAAGGGACCTTAAAGATCATGGAGTTCCAACCCCCCTGCCATGGGCAGGAACACCTCCCACCAGACCAGGTTGCTCCAAGCCCCATCCAGCCTGGCCTTGAACCTCTCCAGGGATGGGGCATCCACAGCTTCTCTGGGCAAAAAGAAAAAAACAGAAGGAGAGGAGGATTCACACATGCTCCTCTTTTTCTGGTTACAGAAATCAAATGATTCAAACCACAATATTCCAGGAGATTTCATCCCGAGTTACCAAAGATGGCACAGGATCCACTAGTCCAGACTTTCAATTCTGCTGTCTCAATTCTCCAAAGCATTTTATGTTTGTGATGGAACTATGAGAAAGTCTCCTGAAACAGGCATTGCACTGTGCTGCTGGTCAGGCAATTTGGTGTGTCTTAGTAGAATATGAAAAAAAAGGCCAAAAAAATTTACAATTATTTGCACAAGTGCTGTTTTGCTCCTTTTTCACCTGCTGCCACAGTACAGCAGAGCTCCCAGCCAACTAATGTAAAAATGGAATAAACCTAAACAGTGCAAGTTTAAACAGGTATGGTCACTATCAAAGAAGTGATATATGAGAGGGAAATACTGTCATAATGATTTAGTAGAAAGGTATTAAACAGCCTTTTGCACTGCCTTTAAACCTTGTCAGGGATCCCAAGGGCCACCCATCCTACGTAGACACACACACATAAAATTTCAGACTGTGGAAAAGAAAGACAACAGGTTTAATACTTCAGCAGAACACAAAGCAAAGCAAGTTCCTTCTCATTGGTCTGCTTACGCTGTTCCTCAGCTTTTCTCTACACCCATTTCTGTGTGCAGTAGGGTGACTGATGACCTGTCAGTTGTGACAGACAATCCTGGCCTACTGTAATACATAAAATTAATCTGACCATGTATGGTACATACAGATTAGCAGGCACCCAGCTCTTTAAAGCAAACCCTAACAACCATTTAAAAACTTTCTAAAACATCAATATGCAGCTATTCATAAAACACAGCCTAATAAAGACAAAGCATATGTATGTCTGAAATGTGTGTGACATGTGATGGGATCCTTGATTGCCTTTATCTTCGCTACCCTTGGGCCAGTGTTGCCCGTTTCTAGTAGCCCTTTCTGGCTATCAGCTCTGGCCATGATTTCTCATTCACAGGCTCCCTGGCAGCACATTGCAGGAATCATGAGGACCTCATGCTGTGGTTGAGCTGTAACTACATCAGCAAATTTGTTATTTTTAAAATGAAATCCTAATTCTTTCTATTTCCTAGCTTATTAACAGTGGCTCTTAAATGGCTTTCATCAATTATTTTTACCTTCAGTAAATGCATTCTTAATTGTTCTTAAATCTGTGCTTGTCGCTATAGGCATTGATGTAGTTTAACAGTTAAGACCAAGGCACGCTTTGGGCACATCTCCCTCTAGTGGACGCAAAGACCAGGAAAATCGGCAAAATAACAGCAAGGCAAGCAAGGGGCTCTCTAGAGAGACACAAATATGAAGGATAACTAATAAAGAAGGAGTGGTGCCCAGCTGTCCTTATAACATCAGCTCAAGATCACCAGGAAAGGTTATGGATATTCAGTGAAATGCTAAAAATACATGAAACAGAAAACTGACGAGGAAAAATAATCTGACTGGATTTATAAACATTACTTCATTGCTAAGCAGGGGCCTCTAACAGTATAGTCCTGGAGATCTACTTTGTGAACCTTAATGGAGTGTTTTTGAGAGAGTTAAATGTGTCATAAACTATGTTTCCAAAAGCTATACTTCTTAAGAGAGCCCGCTGTAAATTTTTAAGCTTAAGGTCTGAATCAGCTTCACTACTACATGAGAAAGGCGGGGACCACTTTGGTGCCCCAGCATTGTTCCTGGTGAAAGATAAACACCCTCTAAACAAGACTTTTGCTGAACAATGTGAGCATTTAAACTGGTGTAACTGCACCAGCACAGCTCCCCATCTGTGGAAAGAGTCTGGCACAAAACCGTGAGCTATGCCAGTGTGAAAAACCCCATGAGCACAGCTATGTGCAGGTAGGAGTCGGCACAGGCCATGGCCCCCAGGTTAGGACTGTGAGAAACACTGACTCACATCTTAGAATTTAAAGAGGACAAAGTCACCGAAGCAAAGGTTAAAAAAAAATGTATTAATGCTAAACAGTGCTGAATCGGGTGCACCAAAAAACAGATACACGATGATCTTTCAGTTTTCAGGTATTTTATACCCTTATCCCAGCCGCCTGGGTTTCTCTCTCTCTTCTCATTGGCTGAGAAGTCGAAGCTCACATTCTTCCCAACCGCCCAACTTACTACAGGTTTAGTTTGCACTTTTTCCCATATAAGGCACACATACACCTATTCTACGAAATCATTATCCTAAACACGCCTTTGATTAGTTGATTATGCTACACGTTATTTCACAGTCTTTGCTAACATCTACTTGGCAGATTTACTGTCCAAGACTGGTTTCTTTGGCCTTATTGATACTCCCCTCCCCTCTGGGTTCCTGTGTCGAAGGCCATGTTCCAGTCTGTTTCTCTTCACCTAGATAATGCTCTGCTAACAAGGATCCTTTGACAGACCAAGGGCATTTCTGGGGATTAATTGGATAAAATTTATTACACTCTATTACTAAAAGATGCCTTTGTTAGTACTGACACACTAACAAGAATATATCAATTAGCTGAAGCAAAACTTAGCTCATTTCCCACAGGACTGTCCCACGCATGCTCAGCATCAGTGGCAGTGCCCCAAACTCTGCAGCCTCCCCTCCGTTGGTAGCTCTGTGGCACCCCAGCAATGTCACCCTTGTGGTGACTAGGGCATGGATGGCATGGCGCTCCCTACACACCTTGATGTGTCCACTGGATTGGCACTCCAAGCAGCAGACAGGCTGTTGGCAGCAGGGCTGTGCAAGGAGAAAGGTTTTTGCACACAGACAGCAGCTCCTGCCACCCCTCACCATCCTCCCTGCTCCTCTGGCTGCTCCCCAGGAAGCATGAGTGCCTGCAAAGGGCTATGTCCCACAATCCTTTTAAGCCTGCAATGAAGAAGTTAAAACTCTGGAAGATGGTTAAAGAGTCTTTTCGAAGTGCCTTCACAAACTGCAGATGCACACTCATTCTCGGGGCACATCAACGAGACCATACAGAAAACAACCACACACAGGGCACTCTGTTAACTAGCAGGTGAGAACACCACAGGACCACCCCATTTCCCTGGTACCAATACGGGCTGCAGGATGAACAAATTGAGAGCAGCCCTGCTGAGAAGGACTTGGGGGTAATGGTGGATGAAAAGCTGGACATGAGCCAACAATGTGTGCTCAAAGCCCAGAAAAACCACCATATTCTGTGCTGCAGCACACGAAGTGTGGCCAGCAGGTCGAGGGAGGTGATTCTGCCCCTCTACTCTGCTCTGGTGAGACCCCACCTGAAGTACTGTGTCCAGATTTGGAGCCCTCAGCAGGAGGACATGGAGCTGTTGGAGCCAGGTCCAGAGGAGGCCATAAAGATGCTCAGAGGGCTGGAGCACCTCTGTTGGGAGGACAGGCTGAGAGAGTTGGGGTTGTTCAGCCTGAAGAAACGGCTCCAGGGAGACCTTACAGCCCCTTCCAGTCCCTAAAGGGGGCTACAGGAGATGGGGAGGGACTTTTAATCCGGAAGTGTAGCGATAGGACGGGTGGTAATGGTTTTAAACTGAAAGACGGCAGATTTAGACCAGAGAGTATGAAGGAATTCTTTCCTGTGAGGGTGGTGATGTTGGAAAATACGAGGTGTTCTGAACTTGGTGTAAAATCTTTGTATATTTGTGATCTGGTACTGCATTCTATAATAATGGGAGAGGGGTATAGTTTAAAGTTACTGAAGCGGCACACCGAGGACGCCTGAAAAGTCAAGAAGAATAAGGAGGAGATAGGCATCTAAAACGGGCCTGGAAACCTACCAGAAGGACAAAAGGTAAAAAGTACACGGCGAGGAAGACGTCTTACTTCATCAGAAACGACCACCGAAGACCACTAGAAGGGACTGGAATGTCGCCAGAATGACGCAATCTATGAAGCAATCCCTAATGAATATGTAATAAGAGGTGATGGGGTGACTATTGAATACGTATGAAATTGTATAATCGTGAGGGTATAAATTGTAAGTTGACACGGTCGTCGGCGAACCAGATTTGGGTGACTACCCCTGGTTCCCGGGCCCGCAAAATAAAGCACCGCATATAACTACCTTCCAGTGGTTATGTGTTTGTCACCGACAGTGAGACAGCGGAACAGGTTGCCCAGAGACTCTGTGGCTGCCCCATCCCTGGAGGGGTTCAAGGCCAGGCTGGATGGGGCTTTGAGCAACCTGGTCTGGTGGGAGGTGTCCCTGCCCAGGGCAGGGCGTTGGAACTCGATGATCTTTAAACCATTCTGCGATTCTATGACACGTTTTGCGCTGCTCTCTCCACCAAACCATTCTGTGATTTCGGCGGCGCTGCTAAGGAGGAGGGGAGCACCGGGACTCCACACACACACCGCGGCCTCTGGGCGAGGCGGGGACCCGCTGCCGGCGGACCGTCCCTGTCGGGGAGCTCCTGCGGCATCTTCCCGCCGTTGGGGAGGGTCGGACGGGCACCTCCCGGGCGGAGCTCCGCCGCCCTGCCCGCCCTGCCCTCACTTCACCTCAGCCTCTCCGGCCCTACCTCAAGATGGCGGCGGGGCGGGGGAGACACAGCGGCGGCGGCGGCAGGAAGTGACGTCAGCGCCCTCCCCGCGGCAGCGGGGCCGTGTGTCTCCGCTTCCGGTCGGCGCGCGGGCGGCCCTGTCAGAGCGCAGGCTGAGGTGAGCGGCGCCTCCGCGGCCGCAGCGGGACGGGCCCCCTCTCGGACCGGCCGTGGGGGTCCCGGCCAGCAGCCCCGGTAGCAGGGACCGGGGCCAGGGGGTGGTGGGGTGGGAGGTTATCGGCTCGTGAATGGAAGCGGTGTCGGGCCCGGTGGAAAGGCGCCTGGCTGCGGCTGCGGGGCGGGTGTGTGGTGGGCCGCAGCCCTCGCTGCCGTGCCGGTACCGAAAACACGGGTGTTAGTAAACCCCCTACTGCTCAGTTCGGGTGTGGGAAGGCAGGCGAGCTTTACTGTCGGCGCCGGGCGCACAGGGGTCTCTCCTCCGAGTGTGCACGCTGATTCTTGGTTACATACAGCATTTAACTTGTGTTAGTCATTGCATATTCATAGTCTCCCAATAATTATATTTTACATATTCGTCTTTTCTCAGCACTAATTAACATTTACCCCATCTGTCTGTGGCACGCACAGTTCTAGTGATAGGGCATTGGAACAGGCTGCCCAGGGAGGTGGTGGAGTCACCATCCCTGACTGTGTTTAAGGGCCATTTAGATACAGTGCTAAGGGACATGGTGTAGGGGAGGACTTTTTAGAGCAGGGTAGATGGTTGGACTCGATGATCCCAAGGGTCTCTTCCAACCTAGACGATTCTATGATTCTATCCTGAGGGTCTTCTGGTGGGCCTTTACTTCCTCCACTCCTCTTCATCGCTTTGTCCTTTTGTCGACTTAACGCACTTTTGACAACTATGCTGTTCGTGAAAATGCAGCTGCAGCGTATCTTACTCCCGTACATTTCTTGGGCTATACTTAAACCCAACGATCTTCTTCACTGTGAGGGTGGTGGAGCACTGGAACAGGTTGCCCAGGGAGGTGGTTGAGGCCCCATCCCTGGAGATATTCAAGGTGAGGCTCGATGAGGCCCTGGGCAACCTGGTCTAGTTGGGGGTGTCCCTGCTGACTGCGGGGAGGTCAGACTAGATGACCTTTGGAGGTCCCTTCCACCCTGGGTAATTCTATGATTCTATGATCTCTGTCTTTGTGTCGAGACACTTAACCACATTCTTGAGCCCTTCTATAACTATTTCTAAACTCAATGTTCTTTGTTGTGATTAGAAAACTCTCTTGGACATTAACTCTCAGTGCCTCTCTGCAGGAGCCCCTACCGGCCCCGCCATGACCCGGTGGGCTCGGCGGAACGGCCCTCCTGGCCAGAAGGTGCTGGAGGCCACCCCATGGGAGGAGATGGCAAATGGTCCCCAGGGGCGTTCCGGGCCGCTCTCCCTGAAGAAGGAGCAAGAGAAGAGGAAGAAGAAGAACAAGAAGAAGAAGGACTACCTGAATGAAGATGTTAACGGGTTCGCAGCCTACCTGGAGCAAAGCTCCCAGGGTGGAGGGGTGGCTAAGGAAGAGAGTGCTGGGCTGGAGAAGGAGGTAGCAATAGCCTTGAAGAAGGACAAGCGGCGGGAGGATAGGAGGCTGAAGAGGCAAGAAAGGAAGAAAAATGCCATGGTGAGTTTTGCCATGTTAGGAAAGCTTATTCTCTGCCAGGAGGTGCTTCAGTGAGGAGGCCTAGAGCCTTGCCTGCTAAAGCCATAGCACATGCTAAGAGCTATGTTTCAAGTTAATAAAGTGAACTTAAGTATCTCAACTTTAAAACAAACTCTGAGTTTCAGCTTAACCCTCAGCCTTTAGTGTGTCTCTTCAGGTTGAACACTGGTTTTGCTACCCTTTGGTGAATTCCCAGCCTCTCTTGTCTCCTGGGTGAAACTAATTCAGTGCTTTTCTGTATATAATTAATTAGTACAATATTTCTGCTGTTTTGGGCCCTCTTTCTGCAGTATTTTCTGCTTGACTATTGGAGTGAGACTGCCTAAAAGTGGTTGTCTCAGCCTGAATTTATGCATTCAGTATAAACTTATGCTGAATGTAATCTAGGAACACAGTAAAGCGAGTCTATATTTACTGTAAAATATCTTGGTTCTTCATGAGTAAATTGTAAGACTGGTGCAATGTTGCTTATACTTATTTGAGCACTTATGGCAGTTGTACTTAAAGAGCTTGGGGAGCTGTGCTATAGTGGAAATCACACGCTGTCAGTCATCCAGGGCACAGTAAGTGAATAGTGGTGTTGGAGTGGTGAAGGGAGAAAAGTACACATAATAATATGGTTCAGTGACAGACCACTGACAGTTACTTTGTGACTCTTTAGCTCTTTTGTGGATCTGTTTTTCCCTGAGGAGAAAATCCCTTGTTATGTTTCCTTTCTAAAAAGCCAGAAGGCCTTATTAGACTGGGATTTTCATTCACAGAATCTTGTCTCTTTATGTTAGAGTAACCTTAAATCTTAACACTAGAGATATGTACATGATAGTACCCTCAGGGTTTCAGCCAAGAAAAGTAGTGGTCTAGTAAAAACTCCACTGTCTATAGGTAGTAATCACATAGGAGGAGTGAGTTCTTCAGTAATGCCACCTGTCAGTGCTTTGTTTTGCCATGTGAACTGTCTATGAGAATGCATATAACTTAATTTTTATTTTAAAAGGTATGTTTCCACTGTAGAGAACCTGGCCATGGTGTTGCTGATTGTCCTGCAGTACTTGAAAGTCAAGATATGGGTACGGGAATCTGTTACCGTTGCGGATCCACAGAACATGACATTGGCAAATGCAAAGCAAAAGTAGATCCAGCTGTTGGTATGTTTCAGAAGTTTTTATTTATTTAAGTGCTTTGGTCTGAGTTTTTTGACTACTGAAATACAAGCTTTATATTTTAGTAATTTAAATGTTCTTAGGATATAGGTTAATGTATTTAAAGGAATACAATATTATAACAATGAATCTAAGAGTGTAGGAGGCAGTGTAGTGTTTACAGTAAAATGGGGTAGTGTAATATTGTAATTATAGTGTGTTCAGAGTTGCATGTGACTTTATAAAGTTTTTTAGTGTGGATCATAAACTGTGTGGGATTTTGCAGGGCCATTTCCATATGCAAAATGTTTCATCTGTGGTGAAATGGGGCATCTGTCGAGGTCGTGTCCAGATAATCCCAAAGGACTGTATGCCGAAGGTGAGTGTACTTATTTACTAAAATCAAACTATGTTTTTCATATTTGCCTGATGCAGAACAAAATAACGCTGTAAGTGAAAGAGGATCTGACTAAAAGGATTTTTTCAGTATCTCTTGGTAAAAGCAGATAAATTCTGGGGGATTCATTGTTAATATTCACTATCTAGGGATTTCTGTTTTAATTGTAAGCTTGATGTTAAACAATGAGATGAGATGTAAAGTATGAGAAATTTCAAGAGGTGCACAAAGAAACAAAATCGTAATAGGCTGCATGGGTGTCAGCAGTGCTTATTTCAATGTACATATACCAAAGCATGTGGTGAAAACATACTCTTATACTGTAGCTTATGGCTTTGGGAGGTGTTCATGCAAAACAAGGACTCTCACTAGAAAGAGGACATCTTCAGTTTAAGTGACGTTGTGATCTAGGTCTGAAGATTTCACTCAGATTCTGTTTCCTAATTTCTTTGTTGGTGCTAACAAATAACACTGTTTCTGAGTAGAAACTTGAGGTCTGGAAAACTCAAAACACTGATCTTGCAGCACAGTTAAATTGGAAGAAAAATAATTTCTACTTTCAATGTTTGGATTATGAGGAGAATTTATATTTCATATCTCAATACCTGCAGTTGGATTACTAGTCTCTTGGGAGTTCCTATGGTTTTCAAAAGTTCCTTTGAATATCAATTTCATAGAATCATAGAGTTGGCTAGGTGTGAAGGGACCTTTAAGATCATCTAGTCCACCCATCAACCCAACTCTGATAAAACCATCACCAAACCATGTCACTAAGCACTATGTGCATCTGGCTTTTAAATGCCTCCAGGGACGGTGCCTTCCCTGGGCAGCCCATTCCAATGTGCAATAACCCTTTCAGTGTAAAAAAATTTCCTAGTATCAAATCTGAACCTTCCCTTGTCTCTCAAAAAGAGAGCTTCCAACGTATCAGACATGTTCAGTGTGTGGCGACTGGAATTTGCAGTATGTGATGCTTTACAGAGCAGTGTGATTACAAACAGCTGTCTGTCTGTCTGTTCATTGGAGACACAGAGACAGAGGAGCTGTGTTTGCAGGCTTCTAAAGCTGGCTGCAGGTCTGCTCCACAATGTTATGTTGTTGTGCCTAGAGTGTCTCCAAAGGGACATTTCTGTATCTTTTTTACAGGTTGTCACTACAGAAAAGTACAACAAAATTTTCTGATATAAATACAAGAGCCAGTGTAGAGGGGTTTGTTTTGCGTTTGGGGTTTTGTTCATTTTATGTTTTTTTTCCCAGATGAATAACAGCTTTCTGTCTTAACAGGTGGCTGCTGCAAACTTTGTGGCTCTGTGGAGCACTTCAAAAAAGACTGTCCGGAAAAACAGAACGCAGGTGAGATGCAGGGCAGCGTAGAGAGGGGAGCTTGAGTGCAGAGCTGAGTAATGTTTATTTACTGCTCTGCCTGGCTTTGATCAGGAAAAAAAAAGTTTGAGAAGACATCTTGCAAATAGCAGATGTGACCTTCCTTTGGGAGCGAGTGCTTTTATTGAGGGGTATGCGGAGGAGGCATGAAGTTGCAATGCAAAACTTGAAAAAATAATCAAGCCTGTGGGCTTCTGAAGACAATGTGAGCTAATGTGCATTTGTTAGCCCGTATTCGTGCTGCTGTTCACAGCTTTAGCAGCTGTAAAAGAAGGCTGGTTTCTGAGGGTGATGATTTCTGTGTGAAGTGGTGGAACTCGATACAGTGTCAGTTGCAGGGTGGTTGTACTGGCTGCCTGTAAAAGCTGTGTGCACAGGCAACCGTTCGAGTCATTCGAGACAGGAGAGAAAGAGGAGACAGATCTGTCCAGCTTGATCCACCATCTAGTAAGCTGCCTGCTTGTATGTTCTTCGGTTATCTGTGTGGGTGGAAAAATTGCATTATATACAAAAAACCTGTGCTAAGGAAGGCAAAAGCATTGAACAAGGGTTTGAAGAATGATGCTGTGACTGCAGTTGTGACACATTTGTGCATTTTTCTACTTCATTTGCATGGCTTATTGAACTTTTGGGTTAATGCCATAAATTTTTGGGAAATCTATGTAAGAAGTATTTATGGATGTAGTAGAAGCCTTTGTTTTACAGAAATAGCTGTTTTCAGTATCTGATCATATATATATGATATTGTTGCATCCACGGCCATATGTAACATTCTAGATGTATGCTGCTTTGCTAGTTTAGAACAAGTGAGACTGAGAATTAACTGGTCTGACAGAACTTTCTAATTTGAAAAGACTTTAAAATTTCCCCAGACTCATTAGCCAAAGCAGATTGTTGGGCAGTGCCCACTCAGATGACTGCTGGGTTGGAAGCCTGAAATCTCATTGGATTCCTGCACACCACACTTAACGACAAACAACCTTTGTGTGGTTAATACTTTCTGTGAGTCAGAAACCTGTAGGGGTGCAGTAGGAGAAAAGAAATGTTTGTAGAGAACAGCATTGCTCAAAGCTGTTAGTGCCATCCAATGTAAGCCCTTCTGCTCTCTGGCAGTGGGGCTTGATTACATGTGCAATGGAACTGGTCTTTTTTTCTCCCTTTTTTTTGAGAAGTGTTATGTCCATCACGAAGACTGGCAGGGCTGTTTAATTTCCCAAAGGACCCTTATGCTGATGTTTCAAAACTAGTACTGCTGGTTAAAAATGGTTCAGTTGATTGGAAGTGTGACACAATTGGTAAGAATTTTCATTTTTGAAATCAGTTTGCATCATGCTAAGTACTTCTAGATTGACTACAGAAGAGAGCTGATAGCTGGCAAAGAAGTTTAGGCACTACAGCTTATCATTTCTTCAGGTGGAGTTACTTGGCCTGCTTTAGAATACAGAAGTTAATCCAAGTAAACATGGATTTATCCATGGATTTTCTTGGTATAATTTTATTTCTTGCTCTAAAAATTAAGTTGTCACTTGGAAAAGAAATATAGGTTGATTGGTGGTGTTTTCTGTAAGAAAGGGGTGTTAATTGGTCTAAATAGCATTTAAACAGCAAAAACATGGTGTTGATTATATGGAGGGATGTGAGCTGAGAAATATAAATTTCACTACATTGTGCCTCCTCGAGTTTAATTTTTTGCTTGACATACTCTGAAATATTCATCGTAAGAGTTACTAGGACTTAGGTTATGAGAAAGTTAATATTTCATCTGCATCCTCTTTGAGACATCCACTGTTTCTTTGGACACTGAAACAGGAAAAAACAGTAATGATTTCTGAATCTTGACAATCTGCGTGAGGGAAGAACAGGAGTAACAAAACACAATTTAAGAAAAAAAAAAAAAAAGTTGTGTAAAGAGAGTTGCCTTCAGAGGTAGAACTAAACTGATGGATCTTTGGTGAACCAGTGACAGGCCCTTGTGGGCCAAATCTGCCTCAAACGTGAAAGTTTGGTGTAAGTTTGGTCGTGCTTTGTTTTTCCATGATCTTTTGTCTCTTGTTCTACAGATCAGGTTACGGTTGGACGGTGGGCCACTGGGATGAGCGCGGATTATGAAGAAATCACAGAAACACCAAAGATGGAAAAACCGAAAGTGAAAGCCCCTAAAATTGTTACTTTTTGAAAGCCTCTTGACTCTAAACCACAGTTAGCCCGTGCTGCTTCACTCCAGGGTCAGGACTGCACAGCGTGGATTGCCGGTTCTAGAAAATCAGGCAGTCTATCGCAGCTAAATTATTTATCTTTTTTTTTCCCAGTTTGCCTCCCAGGCTCACCTAGCTCACTGAAAAGCTGCGAACAACAGAAATGCAGCCAAGTGGGTATTATATTTTTATATATCTCTGCTGTAATACAGCCTTCCCTCTGATTCACATTCCCTCTCACTGCCAGCTCTCTGGAGAGGGAGATTGGCTCCTTCTTATCACGGGGATCTGGTTGCAGTTACCAAGTGTGCACTTTATCATGGGCATCTGTGGCCACTGGATTTCGGTGGTCAGTATTGTTACCTTAGGAGTGCTGCTTTTAGGTACTGGAGATGAACACAGTCATGCTGGGCTTGGAAGGCATTGTGGGTATTTTCTAATGACTCTTCTTGGGTTCTGGTTCGGTTTTGCCTTCTCCTTTTAGGAAGAATGGATTTCTTGCTCTGGATGTAGAAGCTTGAGCAGTCTTGTGGTGAAGTTATCAGGTGAATCCTACAGCCTGTAGAGCCACTGATACTCAGCTAAATACCTGCATGCATTAACTGATTGTTTATGCGCGTTGGATTGAGTATTTGTTCACAAACAGAAACAGAATCGTGCCCTTCCTGGTGAATTCTGTGGTGATATCTGTGGTGAAATATATCTGAAAAGAGCTGGAGGGCAAGTAAACAGCTTGCCTAGTTCCTTTACTCTTTTTTCAAGGAAAGTGCTCAAAAACCTCAAAAACTTCAGTGTTTCTATTCCTTAGTGGGTTGGGCATAAACTTTGCATTGTATTATGCCTGCTTTATTTATTTTTAAACGGAGACTGCAGCCTGAAAGACTGCAGCCTTGGAAAAACTGAGGCATATTAAAAATAAGTTATGAAGCCAACTCAAAACAGAGTTCCTGCAGCAGCTCTCCAAACACTGTAGTAATTCAGCCCAGGCTGCCAGTGGTGTGGGCTTTTGCTGGTGTCTGATCATCTGGGTGAAGATGAACAAGGACGTCTGTGGAGACGTGCACCTCAAGCTTATTTCACGTGGGGACCCTCATCCTGAACCGTCTGCCTGACACCGAGCATCTCGGTCTCTACGGCAGCTCCAGTGGCCCTCGGACAAACACGGTACTTCCCTGTCCCTAAAATCTTAAATGTGCCTTTTATAAACTTCAGATTGTGTTTATACAGCAATAAGCAACAGTCCTTGGGGGGACAGCTGCACAGTGGTCAAGCCGTTGCTTCTGAAGAATTAATGTATCTTTTAAATAAATGTCTTAATGGTGCCCAGACCACCCTGGTGAGAAGGCAGAAGGAACACCAGAGAGCAAACCTTCTGGACCAGGTTTTGAGGTGCTCAGGACCTGCCACTGACACCACGGGTTCGGAATGTACGTTTCTTACAGCAGAAAAACAAATACAGGAATTTAATGGTGGGAGAATGAATTTTATACTTGTACATGTTAATTATTTTTAATAAAAACACTGCCAAAGAACACAATAGTTAGGGCTATTATTTTATGTTTCCTGGTTCTGCTCTGGATACAAAGCACATGAGGCTGACTAAGATAGGGTATGTATATTCAGCTTATAATAATCAGGGCACACATTTAAATGGTGAAGACTAGTGGATGTGGACGGAATCAAGGATTAATTATAGAGTTTTAATTAACTATTGGATTAAAGCTCAAAACAGCATCACTTTAACGTGGACATTTTGCAACAGACGTTTCTTTCAGCTTACAAAGTGTTTCTATTATATGAATAAGTACATTGTTTAAAAAGCATCTTTTTAGATCATTTTCTGTCTCTAAAAACTGCTGGGTAGGTAGCATTTTTTTCACGCATTACGTGCTGTATGACATATAACTTGGAGGAAAAGAAAATTCACTATTGCCTTCCCGCAGCTGATCGCTGCGACTTCTGCTGGGCAAAGGGGATGACTGAGAGGACGTGTTCAGACTTGGAAAATCCCAGAGTCCGGGATTTTGAGAGAAAGTCTATAACTTTCAGCAGCTATTTTCAGGTAACCACAAGTACTTGCTTGCATGGGGCTGGAAGCGTGTCCCGCCTCCTTGTCCCCTGCCTCGGTGACAGCTGAGGAGGACGAGGCACTGTGCTCAGAAACAGCTGCACGGGTTGGCAACTCTCAGTAACTTGGAGAAAACTACTCGTTAAATGCACCCACTGATGCCTTCAGGTGATTTCACAAAGGTACGTGTAGTCACAGAAAGCTATTTGAAAAGCAACTGGAAAAGGTGCTGCGTGTAAAGATGCATTGTACCCACAAAAAAAAATTTAAAAGTTGGGCAATTTAGGAGCTTGAGCAAAGTTTGCGTTGCCAGAGCGGTTTGTGCTCCTCGTCTTAGTAGTTGCACAGAAGTTGGTAAAATACAAGCCTCGGTCTATGTCAAAAAGACCCCCAAAGACGAGTGGTTGCATCTGGAACGTGGCCCAGCTTGGCTGGGTATTGCACGACAGTGGCCAAGGTCTCGGTGTCAGGGGCAGGGAGCAGAACCTCTTGTGGAGGCAAGAGTGCAACAGAACACCAGTATTTCAAAGATGCCCAGTGATGCTCTCCAGATGGTCCTTACAGGACCCCCCCCACAGCTGAGTTCAGTGTCTCTAAAGGCAAGTTATAAACCGAGCTGCTGAAGAAGCCACTCAAGCAGCTGATAAACGCTTGGTGCAGGCAGAGTTTGATGCATCATGCATGTATTCAGAGCTGAACATTAGGTGTCTCTGTTCACTAAAAATTGGGACTGTGGAGATTCACCTGCCCACTCAAGAGCTTGTTTGCCATCATCTGCACACGGCAAGTGTGGGCAGGACTCAGAGAGCTGAGCTTCTGGTCCACAGAGTAGGCCTGGACCCTTCCATGAACAGCCAGGCCAGGAGGAGGCAAGCAGGGCCTCAGTGGCTTTCACGCTTTGGAGGCAGCTGCCCAGAGGCTGCTCTCCTCACTCTCTTAACTGAGGTATATCACACCTTACCCACGTGAGAAAACCAACAAAAAAATCAAGATCTAGATCTACAGTCTCCTCCAGAGCCAAAGGCCTGGACCTGCTTTGCTTTTTTTTTAATTCATAGAATCATAGAACTATTTGGGCTGGAAGGGACCTTAAGGATCATCCAGTTCCAACCCCCTGCCATGGGCAGGGACACCTCCCACCAGACCAGGTTGCTCCAAGCCCCATCCAGCCTGACCTTGAACCCCTCCAGGGATGGGGCAGCCACAGCTTCTCTGGGCAGCCTGTTCCAGGGCCTCACCACCCTCAGAGTGAACAATTTCTTCCTGGTATCTAATCTAAATCTCCCTTCTTCCAGTTTGAAGCCATTACCCCTCGTCCTATCACTACATGCCCTTGTAATGATGATGACTGGAGGGTGGCCAATGTGACGCCCATCTACAAGAAGGGCCAGAAGGAGGATCCAGGCAATTACAGGCCTGTCAGCCTGACCTCGGTACCAGGAAAGATCATGGAGAGGATCATCTTGGGAGAGCTCTCACAGCAAGTGCAGGGCAGGCAAGGGACCAGGGCCAGCCAGCATGGGCTCATGAAACTGAGGTCCTGCTCAACCAATTTAATCTCTTTCTATGACCATGTGACCCACTTTCTCGATGAGGGGAAGGCTGTGGATGTTGTCTACCTGGACTTTGGTGAGGCCTTTGACACTGTCCCCCACGGCATTCTCCTGGAGAAACTATCAAATCATGGCACAGATAAGTGTACCCTTCAGTGGATAAAAAACTGGCTGGATGGCTGTGCCCAGCAAGTTGTGATTAATGGGGTGAAATCCAGTTGGTGGCCAGTCACCGGGGGTATCCCTCAGGGTTCAGTTTTGGGGCCAGTCTTGTTTAATATCTTTATTGATGATCTAGGTAAGGGGATTGAGTGCACCCTCAGTAAGTTCGCAGATGACACCAAACGAGGTGGGAGTGTTGATCTGCTTGAGGGTCGGAAGGCTCTACGGAGGGATCTGGACAGACTGGATCAATGGGCCAAGGCCAATGGGATGAGGTTTAATAAGGCCAAGTGCCGGGTCCTGCATTTTGGTCACGACAACCCCAGGCAACGCTACAGACTTGGGGAAGAGTGGCTGGAAAGCTGCCCGGAAGAAAAGGACCTGGGGGTGTTGGTGGACAACCAGCTTAACATGAGCCAGCAGTGTGCCCAGGGGGCCAAGAAGGCCAATGGCATCCTGACCTGTATCAGGAACAGTGTGACCAGCAGGAGTAGGGAAGTCATCGTGCCTCTGTACTGGGCACTGGTGAGGCCTCACCTCGAGGGCTGTGTTCAGTTCTGGGCCCCTCACTACAGGAAGGACATTGAGCTGCTGGAGTGTGTCCAGAGGAGAGCCATCAAGCTGGTGAGGGGTCTGGAGAACAAGTCATAAGAGGGGAGGCTGAGGGAGCTGGGCATGTTTAGTTTGGAGAAGAGGAGGCTGAGGGGAGACCTCATTGTCCTCTACAACTCCCTGAAAGGAGGCTGTAGAGAGGTGGGTGTTGGCCTCTTCTCCCAAGGGAATAATGACAGGACCAGAGGAAACGGTCTAAAGTTGTGGCAGGGGAGGTCTAGAGTAGATATTAGGAAGAATGACTTTACTGAGAGGGTGGTCAGACACTGGAACAGCCTGCCCAGGGAGGCGGTGGAGTCACCATCCCTGGAGGTGTTTAATGAACGTGTAAATGTGGCACTTCAGGGCATGCTCTAGTGCCTGAGATTGTTGGGTGTGGTGATTGTTGTGGTGATGGGGTGTTGGGGTTTTTTTGTTTTGGTATTGTGTTTTGTTTTGTTTTATGGTTGGACTCAGGACCCTTCCAACCATGAAGATTCTGTGATAAGTCCCTCCCCATCTCTTGTGCAGGTCCCTTCAGGTACTGGATGGGGCTGTAAGGTCTCCCTGGAGCCTTCTCCAAGCTCAACGACCCCAACAATCTCAGCCTGTCCCCACAGCAGAGGTGCTCCAGCACTCTGAGCATCTTTGTGGCCTCCTGTGGACTTCCTCCAACAGGCCCATGTCCTTCTTGTGGTCAGGACTCCAAAGCTGGACACAGTACTGCTAATGCCAAGGTGCTGTATGGCATACAGTGGCTGGTCCACACTAAGTGCAGAAGACAGTAGCTGATTTCTCTAATGCTTTGTTCACTGCATGGCTAGTGTTGTTGAGAGGCCAGGTGACTCGCAGTGCTCATGTACCCAGAGGGCTTCCAGGACTGCACCTGGTGTCTCTTCTGCTGCACTTGGTAGACATGCCATACGTAGTATGTGCAGGCATGCTGCAACCTATAAATCACTGATGAAAGCTTTGATTTTGTTAAATTGAAGATGTATTTACTTGAGTGGGAACTGGACCAGACCCCTAGAGCTCTCGCTCTTCCAATTAGGAGACTACAGTAAGATAAAAGGGCAATGCTACAGTTCACAAGCTTTGATTCTCTTAACACCCCCGCATTCATGTTACCATCTAGCTGCTGATGATCATTCCCCTTTTTTTTTGAACAAGGCTCTTTTGAGCAAAAATAAGAGCGCAAAACAAAGTAGACACACCACAATAAAACCTCTGAAACCATTCTCCCTTTTCCTCAGTGAGGGAACGTGTCCAAGACTCTTACTGTTCTGCATTTACTCAAGGCTAGCAGAACAGTCTTGCAGAGAACTTGCCAGCTGGAGGTCATGGCACTCCTGAAAGAGGCCAACAGCCCCCATCATCATCATCACTACAAAGCAGTCTTTCTGGAACAATGTCTGAAGCCATTCCAGAGATACTGTAATAAAAGTTACCATGAATTTGTAACCTCAGAAACAATAATTTATTGCAAGTCACAGATAAACAACTGGTATTAACAGATAAAGTGCAAACATTAGCAAACACTAAATTACAAAGAGTGTAATCTGTATGTAATGGGTGTGCAAGAACCTGGACGACCAGGTCAGAGCACTGGATAAGCTACTTAGTAGCACCACTTCTCTGCAAATTAGTGTCATATTTACTGATTTAAAACTGGCTGGATGCCATTACGTTCAGTTTAACATTAAAACAGTGAAGCAGCCTCATGAGCTACAGTTCTACAGGCCAAGTTCTGCCTCCGTTTATATAAAATTCATTGATGCAATCAAGAGTGGAATCGGTCCCTTAATCTTTTTTAAATTAAAAATTCAATTTAGAGCCTAAGGCCTAATCTTAATTTGATAGAAAATGCTTGTAGTAGATATTCTGAGGCTCAAGCCCAATATTGGCTACATGATCCCAAGTAACTAACCTGTAGGAAAATGATCAGCACACATGCAGGAATTTAAACCAGTACTGCTTGATGACCTTTAGAGTCTCTTCTGGAACCCATTTTCAACTTGCACACTTGCTGCATTCCAGCTCCAAGAACTTTATACATTCCAAAGCTGTGTCTTCAATGGATTTCGATGAGCCAGTAAGATTTGCAGCTAAGTAAGGCATAACACCTGATGTCACTTGATTGAAGTAACACACCTGTTTAAACAGAA